TCTGGACCCACTCTAACAGGCCCGGCCCATTACTGTTCATTTTTTGGGCGGGAACACTGTGCAGTTTTCATTTTGCTTTTGTATAATAGAAGATGACGAAATCCACCTGCAAAACAGACCTCAGAATAACGAAATCTTCAGAATTTCAAAATGTTTGGAACCTCGAAAACTTTGGAGTTTCGAAAAACCTCATAATATCGAAAACTTGCTGTTTGAAAAACATCAGAACATCGAAAACTTCTAAAACTTTGATAAACAGGGAATCATTCATATATCTAAAATGTAAAGCTTCGATGAACTGCAAAGGATGTCAAGATTCGAATTATGAGTTCCAAGAAACTGCAAACTTTGAAAGATTCAAAACATCGAGAAATTCCGAAAATTCTGAAATTTTTTAGAATGTCGAAATCCAAAACATCGAGTTCCTAAAACTCGAAATAAATTCCAAAACTCGCAATTCCAAAACTCTCAAATTTTAAAAACTTGAGGTTCAAAAACTCGAGGTCAGAACTCGAGGTTTAAAAACTCGAGGTCAGAACTCGAGGTTTAAAACTCGAGTTCATGACCGCGAGTTTACAAACTCGAGTTCATGACCGCGAGTTTACAAACTCGAGTTCATGACCGCGAGTTTACAAACTCGAGTTCATGACCGCGAGTTTACAAACTCGAGTTCATGACCGCGAGTTTACAAACTCGAGTTCATGACCGCGAGTTTACAAACTCGAGTTCATGACCGCGAGTTTACAAACTCGAGTTCATGACCGCGAGTTTACAAACTCGAGTTCATGACCGCGAGTTTACAAACTCGAGTTCATGACCGCGAGTTTACAAACCCGAGTTCATTACCGCGAGTTTACGAACTCGAGTTCATGACCGCGAGTTTAAAACTCTTGATTTTAAAAACTGTCGAATTTTGAGAATCTGAAGACTGTTCTGAATAGCCCTGAAGGTCGCGATCCCTCATGTATCTGTTTCAAGTCAAAATCGTTTCTGCAGCAGTGTTAAAAGCATAAACTCGCAATTCATTGAGAGTTCTTCAAAAAATGAAAATTTGCAGAAATCGAAAAAGAGTTTATGTTGCTGGATCGGCTTTGAAGGGCGATTCCAACAGTATAATTTTTACAGATTTTCGTTCACAAACAAGATTACAGGAGCAAAACTCTATATGAAGAAAAAGAGATGAAAAGCAGAGCATTCTTCGTTAGATCCAAGAAAATCGCAGATACATTCAACCTGTTTCACGCCTCGGCTCTGATACCAATTGTTAATCCCATAATTTAACAAACAACAATCATAACAAGAAGAATAAGAAGCAGATAGGAAGAAATCGACAAGATTGAAACGCAAATCTGGTATACCGTATAAAACTGGCCGCTGCTCTCCCTGGAGAAGGAGAGCAGCGGCAAACCTATCTCTCTATCTCGCCTCTGCGCCTCTAAAGCCTCTATTCGATCATTTTGGGTTCCCGTAAGTTAGCCTCCTTTTATAGGAGAAGTTGGCTAACTTACGGGTTACAAGGAAGCCCCCGGGCTGATACACATTTGTGGCCCGTATTACACGTTTAATTGATAACTACACAAATACAAAGATAACTAACTAGATTGAACACCATAAAATATTCCCAACAACCACATTAAATGTTTTTTATGCAGCCCCATGTGATACCACGTTTACTCTAAAGTTGAGGTACGGAGGAAGAGTGAGTGAGAGTAGCAGACCATTTTACAGGGGAGGTACTACACATTTGTTTTCTGGTGTAGATGTGGATGAGTTTGGCTTAATTGTGTTGAAAGAGAAACTAGAAGAAGTTGGTTGCACAAAGAAGTTAAGAAGAGTCTTTTGCTATTCAAATTCTTCACTAAATGAGTTGAAAGGTGACTCTGAAATCTGGTCCTTTGTGAGTAATGGCGGTGTGGGTAAAATTGTGGAGTTGTGGATAGAATTAGAAGAAGTTGATGATAATGGAGATACAGATGAGGACCTCTCAGATAGTAATTTTGCTTATAGTGAGAAGGACCTAGAAGACATTTCAGGGGATGATGAAGATTCTGACCTAGGGGACTTCATATGTGAAGATGATGCTGATTTTGCTAAACACATTGATCCAACAGCTGAATATGGAGGGCTGCACAGCAACAGTGAAAGACAGAACATAGAAAGTGAATCATTAGTGGTAGATCCTGATCCAAATTTGTCTGATGATACTTCAATACATGATTCAGATTCTGATGCTGAAAACTGGAGTACATTTTGTGCCCAAACTGATATGGAAAACCCATCTTTTAAGCTTGGAATGACATTCAGTACCAAACATGAATTCATGCAGGCAGTTCAAAACCATGCTTTCAAGACTGGTAAAGATGTGAAGTTTGTAAAGAATGACAAGATAAGAGTTGTTGTGAAGTGCAAACACCTAGACTACCCATGGAGGATCAATCTCAGAAAGGTAGTTGATGCTCACTCTTGGAGGATACTTGAGTACCAAAATAAGCATGATGGGTGCTCTTGGGTGTATCACAATAAAATGGTTAACTCAACCAAAGTTGATAAGAGATGGTTGAAGGAGATTAAAAGTCACTCAAACTGGAAGACCAAAGAATTCAGACAAAAGGTGTGTACTGATGAACGATTCCATGTAAGTACAAGGCAGGCTTACAGAGCAATGAGCACTGCCAAAAGAAAGCTCAGAGGTGAGGAGGATGCATACTTTAACAAGATCTGGTGTTTGTGGAAGAAATAAGAAGGACTAATCCACTAACCACATGCACTGTAAAACTCAGTGAAAACATAGAAGAGGGTGGGAAACAAAGGTTTTTGAGGATGTACTTGTGTTGGGAAGCATCTCGAGAAGGGTTCAAAAGTTGCAGACCAGTTTTAGGTTTGGATGGCACTCATCTTAAAACAATGACAGGTGGGCAGTTGCTAGTTGCAGTAGGGTTAGATGCAAACAATAGCATCTTTCCTTTGGCCTATGCTATTGTTGAAGGGGAAACAAAGGATTCATGGGCTTGGTGTTTGAACCTAGTAAGAAGGGATGCTGATATCAATGAAGAGAATGAACATGTATTCACATTGATGTCTGACAAGCAAAAAGTCCTCATCCAAGCTGTTAATGAATTATTTCCCATGGTTGAACATAGGTTCTGTGTTAGGCATCTACATGGGAATATGAAGGTGGCTGGATTTCATGGAAAAGCTGTGAAAGATGCACTTTGGGACTGTGCCAGGGCTTGTACAGTGAATTCTTTCAAAACAAGTCTGACCAAGTTAAAGGAAATTGATGAAAAGGCTTTTGATTGGCTGGCAGATAAAAATCCTACAGAATGGTCCAAGTCTCATTTCTCTACACACTCCAAAACAGATATGTTAACTAATAATATATGTGAGTGTTTGAATGGGGTCATTTTAGAGGCAAGGCAAGAGGCTATTTTAGTATGTTTTGAAAGCATTAGAAGCTACTGATCACAAAAATTTTTACTAGTAGACAAAAGGCAGAGAAATGGACTACTAATTTGTGCCCTAGAATTGTGAAAAAGTTACAAGAAATTGAGAAGTTAGCTGCAGGTTTAATAGGGTATCAGTGTGGTGAGAATGACTTTGAGATTACTGGAATGAGTGGTACACAGCATGGGGTTGATTTAGAGAGGAAAATATGCACATGCAGGCTGTGGGACTTAACTGGTATACCATGCAAGCATGATGTGTGTGCTATTTGGTTGAAGTATGGAAGAGGTCCAGTTGATGCTTACGTGCACCCATGTTACACAAAAGAATCATATTTGAAGATATATGCTGGCAGTATAAAGCCAATTGCAGGCAAAGATGAGTGGCTTATTTCTAATAAAATTCCCCCACTTCCTCATGTGTATTCAGCCAAGCCCGGAAGGCCAAAAAAACTGAGGAGGAAATCAGTTGTGGATCTAAGCAATGATGGAGTGAGAGTAGCAAGGACACACATCAAGATGCATTGTTCAAAGTGTAGAAAAGAAGGCCATAATGCAATGAGGTGTCCTGAAGATCCAAATAACAAAGAGAAACTGGTAAATACACTCATGATTTATGTTATTTATGTCATTTACTTATTTAGGACTTATATGTACTTCATCTTATTTTTCTTTAACCATTATATTTTTTCTACACACAGCTTCAACCTAGAAAAAGAAAACCAAAATCTGCACCAAGGCATAGTGGAGGAAGTGTTGGTGAAAGTGCTGGTAATGATGATGTGGGAGCACCCAAGGTTTCTGCTTTAGATGAGGACAACCTTATGGATATCAATATGCAATATGAAGACTTCCCATCTTTAGGACTTGAGTTTCCTATTGTTGTTTCAGTGGAAGATACTTCAATGTTCACTCAAGTGAGTGACCAAGAAGCTGAAAAACTAAGTGCCCAAGATGCTGAAAGAGAGACTGGAGAAGGGACTGAAACCCAAAGTCAGGATAGTGCTGCAAACCAGAGTGATGCTATTGATGAAAACAAGATTAATGATGTTGACAAAGACAACACCCATGGGTTTGAGCAAAGAAATACTCATGGGGTCAGGATAAGCTTTGGACCACCCCCTCCTTCTAAGACTTTCAGTTCAAAAGGTGCACAACCACAAGGGGTGAACTCAGGACATGGAAAACCAAAACTCAAAAAACTTGACATAAAAAAGGACCAACCTATTCTACCAGATCCAAAACGACCTTCAAGTCTGTTTTTTTGGGGAATGATGCAGACCCAATTGACCTTGGCTAGTGTTTGATGTCAATCATTTGGAAAAGACTGTAGGGGCTTCCATTTTGCTGTAGGTTTTATTGTAGTGTTTGTTGTACCATGAACTTCAGTGTAGTTATCACTATGTTTTTTGCCCACCAGGAGATATTACAGGTTGCTATGTGTAAATGGTGGTTGTTTTGAAAGTACAAAACATTTGCTATGACTGTAATTTTAGTGTGTCTATGTTTGTAATTCTGTTTGCCCACCAGGAGATATGACATGTTGTTTATGTTTATTTTCAATGGGATGATATACCAGTGTGTTTATGTTTGTAATTCAGTTCTTTTAGTGACCATAGTATATGTTTCAAGTTAAGTGTGTTTGTAGTGAACCATGTTTTCCAGTTTATAATGTAACACAACAGTTGTAACATTGAATATGCAAAAGAACTTCATATATACATGTCATCAACATGAACATTTGGCATCAATACATTTCAAAGATATTACCAACATTCCTCAAAATTGTTCGGAATACATAAAAACCATGCTACAAGACTATTTTCTATGTGCATACATGGATGCAAAAACCACAAAAAATGTTATAATGCACACGCCCAGTCTGCTGCAAGAGTATCTTTTGTGCTCTATCTTCTCCATCTTATCTTTTTTGTTTTCTGGTTTCTCAGCTGCTTCCAGGTTCATCTCCAATGTGTGAATGTGGTTTTCATACCCATTCAGTTTTCTTAACAACCCTGGAATGATTTTCTTGGATCTTTTACACATTGGAGGGTCAAACCAGTCCATCAAACCACACCCTTCAGACCACTGCAATCACATAATAAAAATACTTACAAAATCAATCATCTCAAAAAATATGGAAAATTTTAAAGGTGCACCATGCTACTAATACCTCATTTCCAACGCATTTCCAAAATCTTCTCCCACAGTTTTCTGGTTTCCATGTAGTCAAAAGCTTCAATTCTTTCCCACATTGACAATGTTTGACCGGAATCCACTCTCCATATTCATACCGGCCTGTTGATTTCGAGGTAGTTGAACTGCTGCTATACATGGTGGCCTTCGAGCTTACAGAGGTTGTCGTTGGAGTGAACAGGGAGGAGTGCCTACGAAGGAGGAAAACGACGGACTATAGATGGAGTTGTCGTTGGAGTGAACAGGGAGCTTACAGAGGTTGTCGTTGGAGATTTAGGTTTAAATGATGGATAATGTAAGGGGTATTAAAGAAGGGGTGGTTACGATATAGATGGAGTTGGCGAGGAAGAAGTGAAGACCAGCCTATGAAATTACTAGACTAACCTTCCCTTTTTTAGTAAATGATTCAACCGGCTGGAGTTTTGGTCGGAAGGACGACGGATGGTAAAGGAAGAAAACGTCGGGACTAAATGTGGACAACTTGGAAGTCAGGTACGTAACGCGGAAGTGATATAATACTCGAGAGACCAAAAGTGGAAAATTTTCTTCATTTGAGCAAGGCATTCTGCCAAAGGAGGATCTCAATCCATGTAGTACGCGAAAGATCCGACCCGTAAAATTGAGAAATTGAACCCCGTCATACTCTGTTGACTTTGAAGTCAAAACGAATGCAGAAGTAAAAATGCAATAAGAGAGCTTCTTGATTGTGCACAATCGATGAGAGACGGAGCATCTTCAGCGGCAAATTAGAAGATGGACATACAGCAGATGGAAGGCAGGGTAGCCGGTGGCGCCACCGTCGCCGACAGCAGCGCAACTGCAATCACTCCGACTGATGAAGTGACCCAGTTTAACATCTATTTATCCCGGCGATACCAGCACTTACTCGATCAGTCCATGCCGCACCTCCTCTACCGCTGGATTGCATTCATCGCCATAGCTTTGGTATACGCAATACGAGTATTGCTACTTCAAGGTTTCTTCATGGTCTCCTACGTCCTCGGCATCTATATCCTTCACCTCCTCATCGGGTTTCTCTCCCCTCAGATTGACCCGGAAACTGAATTTTCAGACGGTCCAACCCTACCCACCCAGCAATCCGACGATTTCCGCCCCTTCGTTCGTCGCCTCCCTGAATTTAAACTCTGGTAATTATCTGAAGTATTCCGCCGATAGTTTTGCAGCTCTTTTCCCTCCCTTAATTTTATGTACTTCGTATAATGTACTGAAGAATTTCCGTCATATTTCGCTGCAAGTTTTCCTCTAGAATGTATCTTACTCAGTGAGCTAATTTTTGTTTGAAGGTATTCAATTACAAAAGCATTCTGCATTGCCTTAACGCTGACATTCTTCAGCATGTTTAATGTGCCCGTCTTTTGGCCAATCCTCCTTTTCTATTGGATTATCTTTTTCATGCTTATTATGAGAAAACAGATACTGCACATGATCAAATACAAATATTTGCCATTTTCTTTTGGGAAGCAGGTACTTTCATTTACTTCTCCATTTCCATCTTTATTACTGGAGCCATATCATATTCTTAATTTATGATCTTCCACTTTCAGCGTTATGATGTGAACAGAGCAGCATCTTCGAGTGACACTGGCGATAGCTAGATTTATTATCCAGAGGCATTGGTAATACCACTTTATTTAGCAAAATCCCTGTTATATTGCTTCAAAATTCAACATCTAATGGATGATATTTTTAAGGTACAAAGCCTTTTAATGTGAGAAAACTAGAAATGTTAATATGAGAATTTGGGAGATTAGTACAATATGCACTGAATTCCTAGAACTACAGTTGTACTCAGACAAATAACTGGATTATATGAAAATTAATTTGGGACAGAGGTAAGCAATAACTTTTAAATATTGATTCATGATAGGTTGTTTTTGTCTAGCAGGTAGCAATGCCCTTCAAACTTATGACATCTTGATATCAGACCAATCCTTTCTGGTGGCATGCCTGTCTAGCAGTATTTTGAATTTGAATGTAAAGTGTTGATGTATGAACTATACTTTTAGCAAGATCCTTGTAATGGAGCCATGAAAGGTTAGGCACCCACCCCCATGTTGTTTGAAATCAATGCTTACAATAGGGATGTTAACTGACAAAGTGAATAAAATGTGTAGTAATTTTGTACATGCACTAACGAACTCAGGGACGGAGCCAGGATATCACTAGAGGGGGGTCGGGCCAGATTAGAACCCACTACCACTTTCACAGCATAGTCCAGTTTTTTCTGATTAGAACAGGCCAATCCGATTTTCATTTGGAGGTATGGGTCCAGAAAATGGCTGGTTACCACTCTTGGTCGGGTATCCAAATTGAACCTACCGATTATATCTGAAATTCCAAACCCTTAAGCTGACCTGAAGTTACTTATTTGTGAAATCATCAATGATTAATCATTGGTTCATTGATCGTTTCTAATAGTAATTAATGTCAATGTGTTAATTAATCATCACTTAGCAACACCCCAACATTAATATTGAGATAGGCTAAGGATGTTTTTACTTAGACTGCAATTTGCTGGTCTGGTCTGGTGTGGTTTCTTTGTATTTTTATAACCAAGTCTGGTCTGGTCTGGGAGGAATTACAGTCCAAGTAAAAACATCCTAAGAGAAGAATTAAAGTTCAAGGGATGAAGTTAAGAAAAGAACTTACAACTTTAACATTCAACAAGTTTTAAGAGAAAAACCAAGAACGAAGAATTCAGCTCCCCATTTAGATACTAAACGTGAAATAAATATATAGATAACATTTATCTAAACTTAGTTTAAGAGTATATGAGAATGGGTATCTAAATGGGGAGTAAAGAACATTGTATTTATAGGTGTTTGGAGCTAACAGGGTAGAGTACCCGATCGGGTACCTTAGACACTCGTAAGGTGCTGAAATCACATCCAACCTGACCAGCTTAAGGCTAAACCCGACCAGATTACCTATCACATCGGATTTTCCACGATCTCTTGTTCTTCGGCATGTTCAAATGTCTTGTTTCAATTCAAACCCGACCTGGTTGAGCACAAACTGTCCGAGTTTCTTCTTGGTAGCTTCAGATGTCACTTCCAACCCGATAAAGGCTATGTTTGGCACGCATAAGTCCATGTCTTCTAGCTTTAGTACTATTTAAAAAGTCTTTAGAAGCTTCTACTCGTATGTTTGGCATGCCAATTTTTAAGAGTTTTTACAAAAATAAAAGATCTTTTTTCAGATGCTACAGTGAGTAGCATCTCTGATAAGTCTGTAGCTTCTAGCATTAATTAGTCCTAACAGCTTGTATATCAAACAGAGCTAAATCAAACAGTCGGTTTTTTATCAAACAGCTGCTACCTTTTTCTTTTAAGATATTTTCAGTCACTAAAAGCTAACTGATGGAGTATATGGGTCTGAGCCCCCGGACCCACATACTCAGAAGAACAGAAAGCACAAGACACCGAGTGGCGCCCACGTCGGCCAAGGGACCCCCGTCGGCCGAGAAGGTGCCAACCCAGGTTATGGTCTTGAGCCCAAAGAACCCGGGTGCCCTCGTCGGCCACGAAGACCTCACAGAACCGGATTTTATACTTACTTATTTGTACAGCCCATTAGTGGCTTTGTATTCGGCCCAGTAGCGGTCCAGTTGTAAATGGGCCTCCCAAGCCCAAGGCTTGGGAGCCCAGCCCGTATTTTCTCTATAAATACTCCCCTTGGGAGTAGTTATAGGGGTGACAAATTCATTCTATTGAAGCATATTATTGCACTTCTCTCTCTAGCTCTCACTTCTCTCTAGATATACTCTATCACTAACGGTTACTAAAAAGCTTATAAAAGTATCTTTTCAGCTAGTTGTGCCAAACATACCCTAAGTTTTGATTCAACTTGACTTGGTTTGGTTCCAGCACTTATATTCATGTTTATCCTTACCTCCTTTTGGTACCTATAATTCTTTCTTACATCCCTTTTGGTACTTATAACAAAATACACACAAGAAATACAAATTACATCCTACAAAACGAATCTAAAGAGTACATCACAAACGAAACTAAACAAGTAAAAACAAAAATAAACAATAGTAAAATAGTAGACTTGTGCACTAGAAAAATATTGCATATCATACTCCCTCATGGTTAGTCTTTTACTCTTCCTGAGTAAAGTCAAATTTCAGTTCCAGAATGTCGTAACAAGCACAAGACTTAAACAATGTTTTAACAAAACCACAATCCAAGGGTATCAAAATACACATATGAACAATATTCTTCATCCCTTGCTCCTTTCTCCATCCTCTTGGTGTAAGGTGAAACTGGTTCCTACAAAATCAAAAAATGTTTTTCTCTTATTCTCTCATTTTGCCAAAGGGGCTCCTAAGACAAATGAGAGAGTAAGAGAAAAATATTTTTAGATTTTGCAGGAATCGTTTTCACCCTACGCCAAAAGGATGGAGAAAGGAGCAAGGGATGATGAATATTATTCATATGTGTATTTTGATAGTCTTGGATTGTGATTTTGTTAACACATTGCCTAAGTTTTGTGTTTGTTAAGGCATTTTGGAACTAAACTTTGACTTTACTCTAGACGAGTAAAAGACTAAGCATGAGGGGAGTTTGATATGCATTATTTCCTAGTGTACATGTTTGTTATTGTATGATTATTTGTTGTTTTTACTTGTTTAGTTTATGATGTGCTCTTTAGATTATTTTGTAGGATGTAATTTATATTTTGTTGTAAGAATCAAAAGGAATGTAAGAGGGTATTATAGACACCAAAAGAAGACAAGAATAAACATGAATGTAAGTGTTGGAACAAAACTCGATCAAGTTGAATAAAAAACTCGCTTGGGTTGAAAGTGACATCTGAAGCTTAACCCTATTGGGTTTGTGCTCAAACCGGTCGGGTTTAGTTGACACAAGACTATTGAACATGCCAAAGAACAAGACATCATGTAGGAGTACATTTTAGCTTACTCCTAGCAAAACTCTATAATAATAATAATAATATCAATAAAATAGGAAGATTGGAACGTCTGAAAGAAACTCGATTGGAGAACGTCCTGCCAAGTGCCAAGTCCAAACAAGAAGTAACCTTTAAAATATGTAGGTGCTAGAGAGTATTTTTTTTAATTTTTTTTGTTTTCTAGTAATAATTATAGATGCCATATAAAATACTCCGTAGTCCGTATAACCATAACGGTGTTTTCATTTCTTATTGGTTGGTGCCCGAAAGTCAAAATGAGGACTTTGGTTAGAGTAGAGGGAAGACAAGTCTTTCCAACTTGGCAAACATAACCTCATGGACCAACTTGTTTTCCTCTACAAGTTTTGTCTGTCTATTTTTTGTTCAAAGATCCCCCAATGAAAAAACCAATTTGTTATGTTTGTAATCCAATAAAATTAGTTATTCAGACACAACTATTTAAATATATAACAAATATTATATAGGGCACTTACTTGCCGTCAAATCTTATTATTGAACCTAAAAAAGTATTCCTTCCGTTCCTATTATAACTTTCAACTTTCTTTTTTTGTCCGTTTCAATTAAAACTTACACTTTCCCTTTTTGGTAAAGAATTTGTGGTTCACAACATTTCTTACACATTTCTCTCTCCTTTGCATAACTCTCCACCACACAATACTCATTATCTTAAATTGTGCGTCAAACCTATTTGGAAGTTATAATAGGAACGGAGGTAGTATGGTACTTAATGATGAAATCAGCTTGACTTCATTAACTAGCCAAACCTAGCCCCGAACACTTCGAGCTCAAAGCTGGTCTATAGCTATTCAATGTTCGAATCGAGCGCTAGAAAGTTCGATAAATATACTCGTTAATAAGCTCGTATTTGAATTATTCGAAAAGTATTCGGTTCGTTAAAACATATTTTAATTCATGAAATCATATTAATCTCGTTTAAATTTTGACACACATATAAATCATACTCCGTATTTATAATTTTAGGATGTTCGATAGGCTTGAGCTTGAACCGAGTCGAATAATACTATGTTCGAGCTCGGTTTGATTACTAGTTCGAACTTAAAACTCAGGTCGGGTTCGAGTTCGAAAATTCTTTAAAATAGACTCGTTAGTCGTTACTATCAAAACCGTTACGCTCAGCTCTGGTTATAGTTATTTAATACGGAGTGGTATTTATCATTATTGATTCAAGGGTGATACTCTGGATTATTTAATGTCTTTTTGTGTAAAAGAGTACTACCCAAAAAGACATTGCTATTGATGCATCCCAAAATTTTAAAAACACTACAAATTTTGAAATGAAATATACGGAGTATATTAACTTAACATTGCTATTGATGCATCCAGAAGACTCGTCCGATATTCCTATCAACGCTTTTTGAATTGGGAAAATAGAAACTAATAATCCAACTTTTTACCGGTTTTCTTATAATAGTCCCATCTTTTTATTATTCATGAATAATCCAACCTTTGCACTCTATTTTCATTCACTGATCCTTGACCGATTTATGACATGTTAATCTAAGTTATTTTCTTCTTTGTAAAACATTATATCATAATTCTCACCTTATGATCACATAATGTTTTGCAAAGATAAGAAAATAACTTGAAATAACATGTCATAAATCGGTCAGGGACAGGTGAATGAAGATGGGTTGCAAAGGTTGGATTATTCATGAATAATGAAAAGATGTGACTATTGTAAGAAGGCCGCTAAAAGGTTGGATTATTAGTAGGCATGGCAATGGGTCGCGGCGGGGCGGGTACTGCAAGACACAGACCCGTCCCGTGACTTGGCGGGGCGGGTCCACCCCGCCCCATGACCTGCACGGGTCCAAACTTTTTGACCCATGACCCGCCCCATGCGGGGCGGGTCCGCCCCGCCCCGCCGTAACCTAATTAGCTAGTATGTATTTTTATTTGTGGCAAATTGTTACCAATTGAATCTACATAAAGTTTATCTCTAAATAATAATTAAAAATTAATATATTAAATCAAATTCATAATAACCTAAAAATTTCAAAATTCAAGGAAAAATTACTCAGACTTGAATAGTTAATCTATTAAATTATACGAGTACTAATAATTGAACATATATATTAAAATACTATACATAAAGAAGACATTGGCAATCTGTCGTTCATCTCATTCTAATATATGTATTAATATATTATAAGATCAAAGGATTTA